GGACAAACCGTTCAAAAGTTACAAGAGATACAACAAACCAATGCACATCGAGTAACTATTCCCAAACTATTGGTAAATGCATCAATTACAATTTTAAAGTATACCGAGTTGCTGTAGGGTTTGTAATATTAGAGAATATTGTAGGTCATTGAATTCTTCCTCAATTTGTCAAAAAATTCATTCAAATCGGACAAACCGTTCAAAAGTTACAAGAGATAACAACAAACCTATGCACCTCGAGTAACTATCCCAAAATATTGGTAAATGGATCAATTACAATTTTAAAGTATACCGAGTTGCTGTAGGATCGTTTAATATTAAAGAACATTGTAGATCATTGAATTCTTCCTCAATTTGTCAAATATTTCATTCAAATCGGACAAATCGTTCAAAAGTTACAAGATATAAAACAATCCTATGCACCTCGAGTAACTATTCCCAAAATTATTGGTAAATGCATCAATTACAATTTTAAAGTATACCGAGTTGCTGTAGGGTCATATAATGTTAGACAATATTTTAGATTATTTAATTTAGTATAAATTTGCTTAATATTGTATTCATTTCCCACAAACCCTTTAAAAGTTACAAAAGATACAACAAACAAAAGCACTGGTGTTGATCCATTTAATTTTCCAGGTCAATTGTGAAGTTTTACGAAGACGTCGGAACTTTTGATGAAAAACAAAAAAAATGGACGGATCTATTTGCAGGAATTGTCAACAATGAAATTGACAACTCATTGGACAGTTTTATTGTGACTCCTTTGAGATCTAAGGCTGTTTATTTTACTTATCCAATTTTGTACTCCATGTAAGTGAATTTTATCTTATATATAAAAATTAATCGCAAAATGTGTTGGTAAGCGCATAACTCAAAAACGCCTGCACCGATTTGGCCAATATTTTTTTAAAATGTTCGCTGAAGTCCAAGGATAGTTCTTACGGCGAGAAAAAATCGAATAATTGCCGGAAAAACCCTAAAAACAGCCCTTTTCTTTTTCACATACAAACGTTTTCTAACTAAAACGTAGAATCACTTTGAGCTTTATTGCTATTATAAGTTCATATTAAATTACAAGCACTCATTGTATACTCCTAAACGATTATGCGGATTTTGATAAATCTTTCTGAAGTTTGTTAAGGAAATTTTCTAGGATGTATGTGATTATAAAGTACTGGTATGTATGTGCAAATTTGTAGAAATAAATGGGAAAAATTGTAAAAACCGACATATCATTGTTTGCAGTGAAAACAAATAAAAACTATCATCTGCCAAAAATTTCAATTTACTTATGAACCTAGATAATATTAGAATAGGTATAATAAATATATGATCATGAATAAGAAAAATTAAATGTCTACATTATTATTGCCGAAAAGCAGCTGAGATGTGCCAAAAATTAAAATAATATAAAATACAGTATATGTATGGCAGATTGAATGATACACATATGAAGGATATGACAAATTAATTCTCTTGAAATATGACATTAAGTATTAATCAGAGCCGGTTCTATCTTTAATGCGATGCATGCGAAAAATACGAGCGCACGCCTTAGGGGGCACCAACACAAGATTCGGATATTAAATTTTCAACATAGTTTTTATATCAATATATAATTACTTTGCATCTTTTACTAATCTTTCCACAATATTTTTAAAATTTGTAAAAATTTCACTTTAGAACAACAAATGGGAGAGTAAAGATGAATACATACAATTCGTCCTTCACGATATCGATTAGGAGAAGTTTAAGATGCAATTTTGGATATGTTAAATAATATAAAATTAAATTAATTTAATCCAACATTTCTTTTTATCTATTTTATGGTTCTTTTATCTATTTTTAGGCGTTGTTTGTACTACGAAGACACCAGTAGCGGCGGTTCTAAAAGGGATGTTTTCCTAAGACCCTTCAGTGCAGATTTGGTCTTGTGTGTTTTGAGCACTGGAGCAATTTTATCAATTGCCAGGTAACTACTATCACTAATCCAAAATTTTCCAGACAACCAAAAACTAGTGGTGTATGGCATCGTGCCTTAAGGCAAATTGCTGGAACTTCCCGTACCGTAATGAAATATTCGAGAAATTTTAAAAGTTCTCTAATATATTATTACAAATACTGTAACTTTCATTATTTTTGCTATCTTGTTTGTTATATCTGAGCAAATCAAATGTAAATCATAAATCAATTTATCTCCAGGAACATTAACAATCGTCATTTCATTTCGAATTCAATTTCAAAAAAAAAATACTTGCCTAATTTACACAAAATTGAAAAAGTGCTCCCGTACAGTCACAGTCTAAACGCATTTGCAAATAATTCTGTGCGACATTTTCACTTATACTGTGTTAGCTTTGCGGCATTTTCACGTTTTTCAATAGTTTTCACAAAATTGGAAAATCGCTCCTGTACGTAAACAGTCTAAACGCACTTGGGTAAACATTTGTACCAGAGTGGCGCTTAGACTGTGCTTAGCCTGGGTGATTTTTTGAATTTTTAATCCAAAATTACAAAAATATTTTATGGAAAATAAAAAAAGATGTAATATAATTTTATCCTCAAAAGCAATTGTTTTGTCAATACGAGTAGAAAGTTTGTAAGGCATTAAAAGTCTTTATAAACCATTTTGGTAATACTTAATTTTTACTGCTTGATATCAAGATGTCCAATGTGGGTATTAAATCTGAAATCTGGGGTTGCAAGACCAGAGATCTTAGAAAAAAGCTACGAAAAAAAGCTACGAATAAATCTTACCTTATACCTTAATGCACAAAATAATATTTATATAGCATTCATTTTCATTGTGCTCCAGAATGACGTGGATGCTATAGCATCCAAATTATGAATTTGATTATAAGATTTCGTTATAATTATACCTGTACAGGTAATGACTAACTGATTCTCTGGGTATTTTCGTATTACCTCATTTTTTCCTATAGTCAATAATCTCGTAGCTTGGGCAAGCACCTTGCGAAAAATACATGCGTAATATTTGACGTGGATGCTATAGCATCCATGGAATATTACGGTTGAAATATATAAATCTGACTACACACAAAACACAAACACACATTCATTTTTATGCCAGTAAATGTTCAGAAACCTTCAAAACGTCGAGAAATGCAAAAATTTTCATTTTCGATTTTCGGCCCATTACTATAACTACCCTACGGAAAGTTAACAATGTCTTTAAAATTTTATTCAAAGGGCAACTGTCAGAAAAGGGCTTGCTTGGTGTTATGCCAACGAGCAAAACTTTGAAAATGTCGAAAAATTTGAAGATGATGATTGTGGGGAAAGCCAGCAATTTTTTAGTGATGGTTTGCTGTTTTGCCAGGAACTACTTTGTATGCAAGGTAGGTAATATATATATATATATATATATATATATATATATATATATATATATCTTATATATAAAAATGGAGCTCTCGATCAAATGATTCGCTAAAACTCGAAACCGGCTAAACCGATTTGGCCAGTCTTAGTCTTGAAAAATTCGTGCTAATCAGTAGGCTGTCGGAAAGGTGAGATATCATTTTAAAATCGCGTACAAACTTTACAATTTTAATTTGAAAATTTTTGTAGAAGCGTAATTTAAATAAAACAATAGACGGTGGCTCATACGTCAAATATCAAATGTTTTTGACAGATGATGTTCAATTACTTTTAATAGGATGTTTTACGTGAATATTATTCATTTATGATTAAATTGTAGTGAGTAGTTTGTAGTTTCATTTATACACAAAAACGTTTTGACGTAAAGAAATTGACGGCTTAAAATATATTTTAAAAATATAAAGCGTTGTAATATAGTTACGAAATTTAAGTATGTTATTTCTTAATATGTGCACTGAATTAGAAAAATATAAAATCAAATATGTTTCCAACAGAAGAAACTAAAAAATGTAATGCACACTTGCATACTCTATTTTTATTAGTTGCGAATCGACGGTTGGATATGATATGAGTGAAGTACTTTTGAAAAATGCTTTAAAAATATACAATATTATACTAGAGCTATGAAATTTTAGTATGTTATTACGTAATATAGGTACTCAATTATAAAAAATATAAAATCACATATGTTTCTAACAAAAAAAGTAATAAATGTGCAATATTGAAAACAAATGCACTGTTGCAATAGTTGCAAGTCCGCAGTTTGACGAGTATTTTGAAAAATATTTAAAAATATAAAACGTTATACTGGAGTTACAAAATTTCAGTATGTTATTTCTTAATATGTATACTAAATTATAAAAATATAAAATCACACATGTTTCTTACAAAAACAGCTATAAATTTGCAATTCAGTGAAATCTTGTAATAGGGCTACAAGTGTTACTACAAACTCAACAATATCAACTGTTTTGAAATGTTAATAGGAAAATGCACTTTTTGGCGTTGTAGTACTCTTTTTGCAAATCATATTTTTCTCAAACTCTGAAAGATCTCATTTGTATAATTATATACCCATTCATATTTATAAAACATTTTCTAAGTTATATTAATTTTTATTTATGTTATTTAAATTCAGAACCTAAATTTGGTATCGATCAAAGGGACATTTTATCGAATAACATTTTTCCCAGTTATAATTTCCCAGAAGTTATCGAAAAATAGATAGTAATATATAAAAGTCCGGGGTTGAAAAAAACCACCAGCGATGTGTCAAACACGAGTAAAGTTAAGCATTGTTTAATAACAATATTTGAAAGTAGAGCGAAAAAGATGTATAACCAGCTATAACCTTGATTCTTATGACTTTGCTATCGGGAGATAAACGGTTATCTTTGAAAATCCATAATAAAAGTATGGTTTCGCGTCGGTAGTTTTTTAGCATTAGTTAAAAATGAAATTATTTTGTAAAATACCTTTAAAATTAAAATAAGACAAAAGAAAAAACTTACCACATACGTGTTTTCCCAGGTACCTCATGGTCTCCTCGAAGTCTTTCAGGAAGAATAGTCCTGGTAACAGGACTTTTATTTTCGGTAATAGTTTATAATTCATATGCAGCATTTATTACTTCAGTTTTGTCTGTAACAGTATCAGACTTGAAGAATCCTTATGATGTTTTGGAAGCCAACAAACAAAGAGTTGGTTATAGAGATAATGGACAGGATGAAGCTTATTTGATGGTGAGGATAACCTGGAAAAAATAAAAAAATTAGTTGTGTGAAAATTGTAGTTGGTGTAGAATTTTATTGGCTTTGAGGAAATATAAAAATATTGGTAATGGTTTTGATAAATTTTGAGAGATTTTTGCAAAAACTGAAAGAGTGTACCTAGGAAATACATGCAGTATTTGATATTGTTAGATTTTTTCCCAGAGGTTAGGTATAAATTTACACTATAGTTTGTATAACATGGTGCAGTTTTTTCATGCAGTTTGAAGCTAAATTTGGTTAATTTTGAGAATATTTAAAAATATTGGTAATATTAGGTTGTCAAATATCTCCCTTCCGCTTTTTTGCTCTTGGTTTATAATACAAAAAGGCGGAAGGGAGATATTTGACAACCTATTAATTTTAATCAATGTTTGGAGATTTTTGACTAAAACTGGAAGAATGTACCATTAAATTTCATGCACTTTTTTGAATACAACTGGAAAAGTGTACCTAGGAAATATATGTAATAGCTGATATATTTTTAGATTTTTTCCAGAGTTTATGTATAAATTTACACAATAGTTTATATAGCAAGGTACTATTTTTTTTATTCAGTGTGATGCTAAATTTATTTGCATCATTTAAAATATAAGAACAATTACACAAGTTTTAATAAAAATTTATAGGTTTTTGACAAAAACTAAAAAGTGTACCCCAAGATTTCATGCACTTGTGGTGTTAGCTGTTTTAGTTTCAACAATAAACGATTAAATTTATACGATAGTTTATATAGAATCATACTAATATTTTTATGCTATTTTACGCAAAATTTAATAAACTTTTAAGAAACATAATAATTATAAAATCTAACAAAAATTTAGAAATTTTTGAGTACAACAGGAAAAATGCACCTTTACAATTCATGCACTTTTTGTGTTAGCTGTTTTAGTTTCAACAGTTTACGAGTAATTTTATACTATAGTTTATATAGAACCATGCTACTATTTTTCTAGTATTTGATTCAAAATTTAATAAGCTTGTAAGAAATATTGGCTTGTCAAATATCTCCCTTCCGCTTTTTTGCTCTTGGTTTAATACAAAAAGGCGGAAGGGAGATATTTGACAACCTATTATGATAATACTAATATAAATTCTAATTAAAGTTTAAAATTTTTTGACTACAACAGGAAAAATGCACCTTAACACTTCATGCACTTTTTGTGTTAGCTGTTTTAGTTTAAAAGTGTACTTAGGAAATACATGCAATAGTTGATATTGTTAGATTTTTTTATAGAATTTATTTTATATATATAATTTATGTAGAATTATGCTACTGTTTTTATGCTATTTTACGCAAAATTCAATAAGCATTTAAGAAGTATAATAATTCTAATATAATTTCTAATAAAAATTTAGAAAATTTTGAATACAACAGGAAAAATACACCATGCACTTTTTGTGTTAGCTATATTAGTTCTAACAATTTATGTGTAAATTTTAATAAATATTATATAACATGATGCAAATTATTTTTATGGTGTTTGATGCTAAATTTAATAGACTTTCCGAAAACAAAAATATTTATAAATATTCCTTTATAATGTTTATATATTTCAGGACAATCAAGGAGATTCTTTAATATCCTATATTTATAAAATGGGACGAAAAGATAAAACTGGACTTACACATACTGTTGAAGAAGGTAACATTGTTAAATAAATTTTAACAAATAATATTTGTTACTAATTTTTTTATATATTTTTTAGGTTTAAGAAGAACTTTGACCCATAATTATGCATTTTTTTCATCCCAAAGAGCTGCCAGAAAAGCTTTAGTAGGACTTGATGATAATGGTGTGAATTGCAAGGTAAAAATATATTTGGAAAAATAATTAATTAAAACTATATTTTATATGGCATCATGGTAATATTGTAATGCTAAAAAATGCTGAATTTATTTGGCTTTTCAAAAATATAAAAATATTGGTATCAACGCTAATAAATATTAATAGATTTTTGTAGAAAACTGAGAAAATTTACCTTAAAAATCGTTAGCTTACTGAATTGTAAAAAGAAAAAAGAAAAAAAAAGAAAAATGAAAAATAAATAAAAGAAAAATGAAAAATAAATAAAATAAAAAATAAAAAAATAAAAGAAAACATAAATAAAAAAATTAAAATAAAAAATAAATAAAAAATAAAAAAGAAGAAAAAAAAAAAAAAAAAAAAAAAAAAAAAAAAAAAATAAAAAATAAAAAGAAAAAATAAAAAAAAAATAAAAAAGAAAAAAGAAGAAAAAATAAAAAATTAAAAAAAGAAAAAAATAATAATAATAATAACAAATAAAAAGAAAAAAGAAAAATATTAAATAAAAAAAAAATAATAATAATAATAATAAATAAAAAGAAAAAATACAAAAGAAAAAAATTAAAAATAAAAAATAAAAAAGAAAAAAAATAAAAGAAAACATAAATAAAAAAAATAAAAAAAATAAAAGAAGGAATAAAGAAAAAATAAAAAAGAAGAAAAAATAAAAAAATTAAATAAAAAAAGAAAAAAAAAATAATAATAATAATAAATAAAAAGAAAAAATACAAAAGAAAAAATAAAAAAAAAATAAAAAAGAAGAAAAAATAAAAAAATTAAATAAAAAAAAGAAAAAAATAATAATAATAACAATAAAAAATAAAAAGAGAAAATAAAAAAAATAAAAAAAAAAAAAAAAAAAAAAAAAAAATACAAATGAAAAAAAAAATAAAATAAAAATAAAAACAAAAAAAAAGTATAATATAAAAAATAAAAAATAAAAAACAAAAAAATGTATATACAGTTTGTGTATTTTAGGCTATTTTTCATATAGCACTATGCTATTGTTTTTACTTTATTTGATGGTAAATTTCATTGGCTTTACGTTAATATAAAAACATTTATTGCAACTCTAATAAATATTTATATTTAGATTTTTGTAAATAACTGAAAAAATGTCTCGCAAATCTTCACACATTTTACCTTAAAAATCGTTAGCTTACTAAATTGTATATAAGTTTGTGTATAAATTTATGCTATTTTTTATATAGCACTTTGATATTATTTTTATTTAATTTGATGATAAATTTCATTGGCTTTTAGGTAATATTTTATATCAAATCTAATAAATATTTAGAGATTTTTATAAAAAAAACTGAAAAAATGTACCGCAAATCTTCACACACCGACGTTTTTTATTTATAGACTTGTATGTATAAATATTATTAATATTAAATTATAAACAAATTATTTAATTTTTTTAATAAATATTTATATTGTAATAATAAATAATTATATTTATTTATTTATTTGCAGATAAGCGAGATGCAAATAGATGCAACTTATGCAAAAATCGCTTTTCCCATGAATTGGAACTCGTCTTATAAAAAAGCTATAAATTTTAAGTAAGTATAAGAAAAACATTATTTATATTTAAATATTTTATAATAACAGCAACTTGCCTAAAGACAAAATAAAAATTACACCGAATTTCGTTCATTACAATAAAAATAAATATTAAATTTAAAAATTTTTTACTAACGCTTACCATGCATATCCAAGCCTAAGTAAAAATGTATGAAAAAGCCTTGTGTTAGGTTCGGACAACATGGTAAGCAATTGTAAAATTAGCACTATTTTTGGTACAAAATTAGGAAAAAAGTTTTTGAAACTCATTTATCATTAATTAAGCCGATTATTAATATTATATATCTGTTTTTTTCTATTTAGTTTGATGAGAATGCGCCAATTTGGTGTCTGGGACCACCTTCGGACAGCAATGATTCCAGGTTTGCCTATTTGCGAAAATGCATCGATTTTTACGAGTGCGGCCCTGGAAAATGTAGCCTCTGCTATAATGCTTTTGGCTTTGGGGGCTATTGTTGCCACAATTTTTGGTCAGTATAAAAAAATTCATTTTTGGCGAAAAAATTCACTTTTTTCTTAATTGAGCGAGACGTGATATATAGAAATCATCGATAAGAGAAAATGTGTGAGGGTTTGCGGTACGTTTTTTCAGTTTTTTACAAAAATTTCTGAATATTTATTAGAGTTGATATAAATATTTTTATATTGCTGAATAAAACCAAGGTCAAATTTTGCCTATCAAATTTTTCAATTTTAGTGTAAAAATCAAATTAAAAAATCCTAAATTGTTCTCAAAATTATATAACAACAATTGTAAGACTTTTAATCAACCTCTTTTACCTTTTGACTAAATCGAATTATTACTAATAATTATAGTAGCTCAGGATTTTAATATATTAAGTTAATACCAATTCAGAAATTTTCTAATATATGTATTAGATTTAAAATAATTTTATTAATTTTTTTTTCCAAGTTATTTTGGAAAATTTGTGGAAAAAACGCCTAAGAGTTCCCAGCATGCGAAAAACACCAGAGTGGAAAATCAAGAGAAAAAGACATTACAGCAAATAGATATAAAAAAAATAAAATTAAATTATTTTAGCATATTAAAAAGTATTTAAAAAATAGTATGAAGTATAAGAAAGTATTATAAATAAATTAAAAAATAAGAGGACAAACACAAATAAGTTGTTTTTATTCAAAACACATACAAACCTATACATAAACATAAAAATAAACATAAAAAATAGTCATAGAAAAAATAGACAGATAGAATAAATAATTTTAATATTATTATTTATATTATTATTATTTATTAGCATTCACGCACAATATTTCACAAAAGTCCCAACTTTTTTCTTGGACAAATTTTTTTCCCAAATTTTTTTGCTTTTCGTGCACAAATTTTTCAAAATCTCCTAAAAAAAAAAATTGTTATGAAAAATTAGAAATGAGTTGCCAGTGCAAAATATTGTGCAGAATAAAAATAAAATCGTGCAAAAATATAAAAAATTGAAAATAATTAAATAATTATTATTTATTACTATTCACGCACAATATTTCACAAAAGTCCCAACTTTTTTCTTGGACAAATTTTTTTCCCAAATTTTTTTGCTTTTCGTGCACAAATTTTTCAAAATCTCCTAAAAAAAAAAATTGTTATGAAAAATTAGAAATGAGTTGCCAGTGCAAAATATTGTGCAGAATAAAAATAAAATCGTGCAAAAATATAAAAAATTGAAAATAATTAAATAATTATTATTTATTACTATTCGCACACAATATTTCACAAAAGTCCCAATTTTTTTCTTGGACAAATTTTTTCCCTAATTTTTTCGTTTTCGTGCACAATTTTTTCAAAATCTCCTAAAAACAAAAAATTGTTATGAAAAATAGAGTTTCCAGTGCAAAATATTGTGCAGAATAAAAATAAAATCGTGCAAAAATATAAAAAATAGAAAATGTTTAAATAATTATTATTTATTAGCATTCACACACAATATTTCACAAAAGTCCCAAATTTTCTCTTGGACAATTTTTTTCCCAAATTTTTTCTTTTTCGTGCACAAATTTTTCAAAATCTCCTAAAAACAAAAAATTGTTAAAATAGAGTTCTAGAGAATAACAAAATAGAGTTCCCAGTGCAAAATATTGTGCAGAATAAAAATAAAATCGTGCAAAAATGTGAAAAAATTAGAAAATAGTGTTAATTAAATTAAATTATTATAAATTATATATTTATATAAATTTTTTCCAAAAATTTGGTAAAATTTTAATTCAAAATGGTGTTAATAAACTGTTTTAAAAACTTGTGTTAATAAAATTAAATTAGTGTAAGTTTTTTATTTCAAAAGTATTATTTTTAAATTATTTTGGTTTATAAAAATAGTGTTAAATTATTATGAATAATATATTTCTAGATTTTTTAAAATTTGTAAATATTATATTCAGAGTGTTGCAAATTTGTAAATATTAATTTGGTGCAAACTAAATATTTTTTTGGTTTACTAAAATTGTTTTAGAGTTTTAACTAATAAATTGTGTTAATAAAATTAAATTAGTGTAAATTTTATATTTTAAAAGTATTTTTTTTAAATTATTTTGGTACCCAAAAAATGTTGTCAGACTTAGTTTTTTATTTAACAAAATTTTTGGTAAAATTTCATGCAATTTTGGCAAGAGTGTAAAAATATTTTGAAGTCTTTAAAAATATTTATTTAAACAAAGTCAAAAGTGGATTCAAATATTATGTAACAAATATGTTTAACTGATCTGTTTATATATCATATCTGGCAAACATTTCATGTTTTTTGCCAATAATATTATTGATCTCCAATTTTGTACTCAGAATTTAACATATATCTAATATTTTATGCAAATTGTATATAAAATGATATTTCTATTAATGCTTTCTGTCAAAATTTTAGTTTTTTTCAAGAAAAACCAAAATAAAATGCTAATTTTTTTGCTAATTTTTATCTACATAATTACTATTTTTGTAACTCAATACCAATTGTAAATTCTTTTGTCAAAATCCAAAAAGATTTATCGAAATTCGACTAACCGTTCAAGAAGAATGATATATATATATATATATATATATATATATATATATATATATTTGTAATATTTTTGCAGCCCAACCGTCGAATTAAAAAAAGATTAAATAACAAAATTATTTATTCCATTAAACGTTTCGACACTTGATGTGTGTCATCATTTAGTAATCAAACCAGGAAAAACAACAGAAAAAATTAATTATGATGTAAAATTGATTGGACACTAAATTTGTGTAAAATAATAAAATACTATTATATTAACAAACGAGTTTCATGTTATTAATAGCGGTGCATTATGGACACTGATCAAGGTTACAACGCAAGGGTAGTGAAGGAGTGGATATATATATATATATATATATATATATATATATATATATTACTAAATATTTTTATCCACATTTGACTTTGTTTAAATAATTTGTTGTTAATTTGTTCTTAATTTATTTAAACTATTTTTGTTAATTTTTTTAGAAAAGAAATTAGTAAAAATTATGATGTATACTTGACGGCGTCCAAATAGTGTTCAGGATGAAATTTTTGTTGGGCCTTTGAACCGACTTCTTCCAAGCACTGCTCTATTGGTTTTCCTAAAAAATAAATAGACATATAAAATCAAATATAAATCATAAATCAATTTATCTCCGGAACATCTGTTTTAACATAATTCAAATTTTTGTAAATCAATACCAATTGTAAATTCTCTTGACAAAATCCAAAAAGTTTTATCGAAATTGGACTAACCGTTCAAGAGAAATTATATATATATATATATTCAATCAAGTTTTATTCAAAACTTTTATATTGAAGAAAACAAAAAGTTTGAGATGAATCTGTAGTGAATTTTATCTAGTTTCTGCTAAGTTAATTAGAAAAGAGTGCACAATACAAAGTTTTCGAGATATTTACAAAAATGTAAAAATATGTACCAAATTTTTGTATAGTCACAGTCTAAACGCATTTTCAAATATTTCTGTGCGACATTTTCACTTATACTGAGCTTATCTCGGCAGCATTTTCAAATTTTTCAATAGTTTTCTCACAAAATTGGAAAAGTGCTCCAATACATAAACAGTCTAAACGCACTTGGGTAAACATTTGTACCAGAGTGGCGCTTAGACTGTGCTTAGCCTGGGTGATTTTTTGAATTTTTGATCTAAAAAAAATTACAAAAATATTTTATGGAAAATAAAAAAAGATGTAATGATTTTTTAACCTAAAAAAATGTGGACGAAAAAATGCGGACATACAAAACACACACACACACACACACATATTCATTAGTTTTCTGAGGTATGCCTTAAAATGTTCAGAAACCTTCAAAACGTCGAGAAATGCAAAAATTTTCGGGAAGTTAATTAGTAATTGTGTAAAAAGTACCAGTGAACTATTTTTCACAAAATTTTAGAAAAACCAATTCCAAAGACAAAAAAGAACATGGCATATCATTCTACAAAAACTTTTTGCTGTATAAATAAAAAAATTACTTATTATATTATTATTTATTATATTATATTTATTTTTTATTATATTTACCAGTATCTACAGAATTCGCCAAAGCCTTCTTCACAGAAGCAGAATCCATAGTTCGTAAATTCGTGGCCAATCCCAAAGCTGCAAAAACTCTGATGAAGGCGGTGGAGCAACCGGAGCCTGGAACGTATGCAAAATATTATAGGCAACTTGCCGATAGGCATTGGTGGTTAGGCATGTGGGGTGTCTGGGAAAAGGGCTCGTCGAGTAGAGTACAAATATGGTGAAAAAATATTTGTAAGTTCAAATTTGACTAAAAGAGATATTTTGGTGAGGGCGAGATTTTTTTGGCAACTTGTCGATAGGCAAATTGGTTAGTAGGCGTGTGGGGTGTCTATGGATAGAGCTTAATGAGCAGATTCCAAATGTGTAAACAAATTTAATTTATAATATTGCATCTTTGAAATAATTAGAAAAAAGTTGATGCAGTATCAAAAAGTTGAACAGGTACTAGAAAAATTAATAGCAACTTGCCAATAGGCTAACTGATAATACATGTTGGGTGTCTATGGATAGAGCTCAATAAGCAGAATACGAATTTCTAAACCAATTTAATTTGCAATATTGCAGTTTGAATTTAATTTTAAAAAAATGTGGTGAAACATCTAAAAGTTGAACAAGTTCCAAGAAGATTAATAGCAACTTGCCACTAGGCAAATTGGTAAGGCATGTGTGGTGTCTATGGATAGAGCTCAATAAGCAGAATACGAATTTCTAAACCAATTTAATTTGCAATATTGCAGTTTGAATTTAATTTTAAAAAATGTGGTGAAACATCTAAAAGTTGAACAAGTTCCAAGAAGATTAATAGCAACTTGCCACTAGGCAAATTGGTAAGGCATGTGTGGTGTCTATTGATAGAGCTCAAAAAGCAGAATACAAATTTCTGAACAAATTTAATTTGCAATATTGTATTTTAATTTAATTTTAAAAAAATGTGGTAGAGCATTAAAATGTTGAACAAGTACCAGAAAAATTTATAGCAACTTGCCAATAGGCAATTCAATAAGTGCATGTGACATGTCTATGGATAGAACTCAAAAAGCAGAATGCGAATTTCTAAACCAATTTAATTTACAATATTGCAGTTTAAATTTATTTAAAAAAATGTGGTGGAACATCTAAAAGTTGAACAAGTTCCAGAAAAATTAATAGCAACTTGCCAATTGGCAAACTGATAGTACATGTGACGTATCAATGGATAGAGCTCAAAAAGCAGAATATAAATTTCTAAACCAATTTAATTTGCAATATTGCAGTTTGAATTTAATTTTTAAAAAATGTGGTGGAACATCTAAAAGTTGAACAAGTACTATAAAAATTAATAGCAACTTGCCAATAGGCAAACTGATAAGAGCATGCGGGGTGTCTATGGATAGAGCTCAAAAAGCAGAATACGACTTTATAAACCAATTTAATTTGCAATATTGCAGTTTTAGTTAAATTTAAAAAAATGTGGTGATGCATCAAAAAAGTTGAACAAGTACCAGAAAAGTTAATAGCAACTTGCCAATAGGGAAACTGATATTACATGTGGGGTGTCTATGGATAGAGCTTAATGAGCAGATTCCAAATGTGTAAACCAATTTAATTTGCAATATTGCAGTTTGAATTTAATTTAAAAAAAATGTGGTAAGCATCAAAAAGTTGAACAAGTGCCAGAAAGATTATTAGCAACTTGCCAATAGGCAAATCGATAAGTGAATGTGACGTGTCTATGGATAGAGCTCAAAAAGCAGATTATAAATATGTAAACAAACTTAATTTATAATTGTGCAGTTTTGATTTTATTTAAAAAAAAGTGGTGAAGCATCTATAAGTTGAATAAGTTCCAAGAAGATTAATAGCAACTTGCCAATAGGCAAACCGATAGTACATGTGACGTGTCTATTGATAGAGCTTAATGAGCAGATTCTAAATGTGTAAACGAACGTAAATTATAATATTGCAGTTTGAATTTAATTTAAAAAAAGGTGGTGCAGCATCAAAAATTTGAACAAATACCAAGAAAACTATTAGCAACTTGCCAATAGGCAATTTGATAAGTGCATGTGACATGTCTATGGATAGAGCTCAAAAACCAGATTCCAAATGTGTAAACCAATTTAATTTGCAATATTGCAGTTTAAATTTATTTAAAAAAAATGTGGTGGAACATCTAAAAGTTGTACAAGTACCAGAAAAATTATTACCAACTTGCCAATAGGCAAATCGATAAGTGCATGTGACATAACTATGGATAGAGCTCAAAAAGCAGACTACAAATGTGTATACAAATTTAATTTGCAATATTGTAGTTTAGATTTAATTAAAAAAAATGTGGTAAAGCATCAAAAAGTTGATATACAAGGAAGATTTTGAGCAACTTGCCAATAGGCAAATTGGTTAGGCATGTGACATGTCTATGGATAGAGCTTTGAGAGCAGATTCCAAATGTGTAAAGAAATTTAATTAATAATTGTGCAGTTTTGATTTAATTTAAAAAAATGTGGTAGAGCATCTACAAGTTAAACAAGTACCCGGAAAATTATTAGCAACTTGCCAATAGGCGAACTGATAAGAGCATGTGGGGTGTCTATGGATAGAGCTTAATGAGCAGATTCCAAATGTGTAAACAAATGTAAATTATAATATTGCAGTTGGAATTTATTTTAAAAAAAATTGGTGAGGCATCAAAAAGTTGAACAAGTACCCGGAAAATTAATAGCAACTTGCCAATAGGCTAACAGATAGTACGTGTGGGGTGTCTATTGATAGAGCTCAAAAAGCAGATTCTAAATGTGTAAACAAATTTAATTTGCAATATTGCAGTTTGAATTTAATTTTAAAAAAATGTGGTGAAGCATCTAAAAGTTGGTAAAGTGCAACAAAAATTAATAGCAACTTGCCAATAGGAAAACTGATAAGAGCATGTGACATGTCAATGGATAGAGCTCAAAAAGCAGAATACAAATTTCTAAACAAATTTAATTTGCAATATTGCAGTTTAAAGTTAACTTTAAAAAATATGGTGATGCATCAAAAACTTGATGTACAAGGAAGATCTTTGGTGACTTGCCCATAGGTTAACAGATAGTACATGTGGGGTGTCTATGGATAGAGCTCTAAAAGTACATTACAAATTTAGTATTAAATTTGATTTATATTGTTATATAAGAGATTCAGAAGACAAAAACCAATATTCAAAATAAAACTACTTTTTTTTTGGTAAAAATAAGTGTTGGGTCACTTTTTAAGATATCATATTAGTTGCATTGAATTAGAACTTCATCCTGCTGATGCATTAGAGTATTTTTAACACTTTTGGCTTAATTTTTTACTTATTTTTATCAAAATATTGATTTATTTTAAATTTTTACCATAAGTTCCATATTCTCCAGATTGATAATCCCATGGTAGCATATAGTGGTAACTTGGCCAGTAGGATTTTGTGATGAAGAAAATCATGTTGCTGTCTGAAGGATACCTAAAAATATAAAACAAATTAATAAAAATCAAAATATTGATAAGAAAATTATTAATAAAACACGTTAACACCACAGAATATATTATTAGTGTGTAAGTAAGATGGCAAGTTTCTGGTGATATTTTTCCAAACTTTGGCTTGTAACTTCTGAAGTAATAAAGATAAATTAAAGTTGTCTTTGGGTAAATCATAGCTAATAGTATAAGCTATATATGTGCTATACAACATGTCTTTCTATAACCACTTTTTGGTACAAAAAAAACCTTAACAAATCTTTAACACTTTAGTCCAACCTGCGGCCACCACTTTTCTAATATCTTCCACAACAAGTTAAAATATTAAAATTTTTATATAGAAAAAAATAGTTTAAGTACTATTGAGTACTATTTAATATTATTTATCACTATTTAATACTATTTTATCAATTTTTCCTATTTTTTTACCTTTCTCCTCGTTTAATTCCCCAAACATGCCTTGCAGAATTTATCAACCAGGATGCATGAAGGGCCAAAAGGTACTTGTGCATCCAATTATGAAGAAACTGTTGACAAAATTTTCGCCCCAGTATTCCATCGGAGCATTGATTGGCAGCAAAAGTGTTAGGATTATGTACATTGGCCAGTAGAACCTGCAGGAAAAAAATTAGGACGATAAGTCAACCCTTTGGTAAAGGTGGGTAGTGGATTGTTGGTTGAATTGCTTTTGTTTTGTTAATGGTAACTTTTGATGGGTTTGTGTGAAGTGGATGGTATGTATGGGTGATTTGTAGTAGATTGAAGGGTTTATAAAGTTGTCTAAGGTTGTAATGACCTACAGCAACTTTGTATACTTTAAAAACGCATTTCAAATTCTGCAGTAAAGTCGAGTACCTGAAACTGGTTTGTGCATTCATTTACCAAATTCCTTATAACTTCAAAACTATTCATCTAAACTTCAAGCAATCTTCAGCAAGTTTATACAAAATTTCACGATCTCCAACATTGTCCTACACCAAAATACCCTACAACAACTCCCTATACACATAAATCCATTCCCCAACTTACGATTTCTGGAACATGACCACCTTGTCCTTCTCCAAATCGCTCATGTCCTGCTGCTCCAGCAGCCTTTCCTGCTCCGGGCTGTAGCCCTGGAGCTGGTGGACGATTTGGGACTTAAAAAGGTCCTTGTTGCTGTAAAAAGGGTCCTTGTCGGTGTCTAAAGTTGCATGATGTAGCCTGTGGGAACGAACCCAACTGTAGATACTTCCCTGGAAAAAAAAGGATAGGGGTTAGATTTAATATTAATAAATTATATGTTAGAAATGATACTTCAGTAGTGTAGACTCGATGATAATGTGAGTTTATTGATAACTCAATTTACAACGAAACTGATATGATATAAATTTTGATATCAATTTATTAGCCCGAAAATTGATCGCTGACTAAAACCGAGAGAACAATTTTACGACGTGAAAACAAAAATCTAGCTAAAGCTTGCTAAATGCGATATTCGCATCGGCGTAGCTCCAAGTGTGCTGTGTAGTTTAGTCATCAAATTGGCGTCAATCAACTGACATATGTCAAGAACATTTTCATTCCGCCACAGATTTTTAGGCTTTGTGGTTGTAAGTTGGAAAATAGTTGTAAGAGGTGGTTAGTGTGTATGGAGGATTTGTTGGGGATGATTTTGGGTAAAATATTGTCATATATGACAATGGTGTAGGAGTGCGTTTAGTATTTTTAAATAATTTTTGAAGTTCAAAGTTTGGAGGTGCTAAAGTTGTAGTAGATATACACTTCCCTGAAAGGAAAGAAGATTAAGGTTAGTTTTTAGGGTTTTTGGCTCTAAGTTGGAAAATAGTTGTCGGAGGTTGTTGTTGTGTATGGGAAATTTGTTGGGGATGATTTTGGGTAAAATATTGTCATATATGACAATAGTGTAGAAGTGCGTTTAGTATTTTTAAATGATTTTCAAAGTTCAAAGTTTGCAGATGCTGAAGTTGTAGTAGATATATACTTCCCTGGAAGGAAAGAGGATCAAGGTTAGTTTCTAGGGTTTTTTTGTTGTAAGTTGTAAAATATTTGTTGGGGGTGGTTGGTGTGTATGAAGGATTTATTGAGGATGATTTTGGGTAAAAGATTGTCATATATGCTAATAGTGCAGGAGTGCGTTTAGTATTTTTAAATAATTTTCAAAGTTCAAAGTTTGGAGATGCTACAGTTGTAGTAGATAGATACTTCCCTGGAAGGAAAGAGGATAGAGGTTAAGGGTTTTTTAAGGGTTTTTGGCTGTAAGTTGTGAAAAATTTGTTGGAGGTGATTGGTGTGTATGAAGAATTTATTGGGGATGATTTAGGGTAAAAAAATTCATATATGACAAAAGTGTCGGAGTACGTTTTGTATTTTTAAATAGTTTTTAAAGTTTGTAGTTTGAAGGTGCAAGGGTTATTGTGTTTTTGTTTGTTGTTTTGAGAATGACTTGTAAACTATTGCTTAGATTTGCAAACTATATTAGAAAGAATTATTGGTAAAAGAATTACCTATTAGTTCGTCATATGTGATAGTTTTGTAAAATCACTTTTTATATTTTTAACATATTTTCAAAATTTGGTTAAGGTAAAGGACAAGAGTGCAAATTTCGTGTAGAGTCTACGTACGAATTGTACATTTTGGTTCGTAATGTCTAAAAAAATCACTATATTTAAAATCTATTTATACACAATCTTTATAAAATTATCTTTTATCTGTTAGTTACTTTTATTTATAGTTTTGTCGCAAATCGAATCTTTAAAAACCAATAAATGCATAAGTTTACTTGTTTTACGTAAATTAAACAGGTTTTGTGTGAATGCATATGCATATTTTTGATCATAACTTTTAAAGTAAGAATTGCATTTAAAAATAGTCTTCTAGAAGTCATTTTGCATAAAATATTTATAAACTGTACATATATATTGATGTTATGAAAGTGCAAAATATGTATATAATTGCTTGTAAACTTTGACAATGTCTTATCGAAAGTAAGGTACTAATTTGGGTTATAACTTTTAACCTAATTTATATATTTAAAATCTATTTATATAAAAATTGTCTTTATGAATTGTTAACTATTACTCCATATACAACTAGTTAATATAGTTTATAGTTTTGGCACAAAAAACGAAGAATAAATATATATATATATATATATATATATATATATATTATATATATATATATACAATAAGTCTTATAATTAATAATTTAATTTTATGGTCTTAAAATATGTGTGAAGTTTTATAGTTGGAACTATTTTTAAATTATGTAAATGTCTAAATATTACATTAAAAAATTTATACTAAAATGTCTTCAATAATAAAAAAATATTTAAATAAACTTTTTAAGAGTTCATAAGTATAAGACATTTTTTAAGCTCCACCTTCAATAGATTTTAATAATTTAGACTTACGTTTGAAAGTTATTTAAAAATATAAAATGTACCCCTACAAAAATGTTATGTATAACAAACTAATAGATAATTGATTTCTTAATAATTCCTTCTAATACAATTTTTAAATCAAACTGTTATTTAACAAGTTATTCTCAAAAATATAAAAAAAGCATTACAAATTAGGCACGTACTTGAACTCTACGTTAACAAAATTTTGAAAATTATTTAAAAATATAAAACGTACTCTTACAAAATATCATATATAACAAAAGTATAGATAATTTTATCATAAACAAATCTTTTGAAGACAGTTTTTAAATCCAACGCTTATTTTGCAAGTAATACTAAAAAAAAACTAAGACATCTATAATTTATATAACAGTTCTCATACAAAATCGTTCGATTTACACTCTAACAATAAGAAAATATTAAGAAACACTTTTCAAGTGTTTGAATAAGTGTAGAAAGTGCTTAAGGCTTGGCCTATATTATATTTATAAATATACATACATACATATATATATATATATATATATATATATACATATAATATTTATACTTTAAACACGTCGAAGAATTTTCTTACATAACCGAGTGTTAATTGACAATTACTTTATTATATGCAAAAGAAGGTTTTTTCTAAAAAGATCTATTCAAGTGTCAACTTTCTCACTTTTTTGCATCAACTGCACTCATCGAATGCTTCTACTAACCTTTTATGAAGTGCATTTTGCAATATTGCAAAAGATACAGTTGTTAAAAATTATTTTATGACCGTAAATAAAGTAATTTAATGAGAAAACATTATTTTGTGTTGAAAATTGTTAGAAAAAGTAATTAGGTGTGTATGGACGGAAAATAGATAATTTTATAAAGATAATTTGGGTATAAATAGATTTAACAATATATATAATAATTATTTTTAAAGTTATAGTCAAAAATATACAAATGTACCTTTGCAGTAGTGGATTTTTTATATTAGGTAATTTATGGTGCATTTTTTTTTAGATTTTTGAGAATAACTTGTAAAATATTAGTTTAATTTAAAAATTTTGTCAGAAAGTATTATTAACAATTAAATTATCAATTAGTTTGTAATATATAATATTTTTGTAGGAGTACGTTTTATATTTTTAAATAATTTTCAAAATTTTGCTAACGTAGAGTTCAAGTACGTGCCTAATTTGTAATGCACTTTTTGAATATTTTTGGGAATAACTTGTTAAATATTGGTTTAATTCAAAAGTTGTATTAGGAAGAATTATTAATAATATAATTATCTATTAGTTTGTTATATAAACTATTTTTGTAGGAGTACGTTTTATATTTTTAAATAATTTTCAAAATTACGTGCATAATTTGTAAGTGCCTAATTTGTAGTGCATTTTTTATATATTTTAGAATTTTATAAATGTTGTTATTATTAACTAAATTATATATTTAAAAAAGTAAAAAAGTAAAAGTATTTCTTAGAATTTTTTGCGGGTAAACACATTCGGTTTATTTATTTTGTTTATTTGTGGTTTAAATAAAGGTTTTCCCATCGAACGAATTTGTAAGAAATTTTTTGTAGAAATATATTTACCAATCTATATATTATTTATTCAATTACGTCTAAAATATTTTTCAGAAAATCACAATCAAACGTTCAAAGTTTAGTCTAATAAATATTAATATATTATAATTATTGAATAGTTTCGTTCGAGAATATTATTTCCGATTGATTTTTCATACAATAGCAAATGTAAATGAATTTACATTGAATTCGTTGAACTTTGAACTTTTCTTTTTCAAACTAACAGTTTGCTTTGTAATTAAATATTGCATTGTAATTAGAAATTTACTTTATTTAGTACAACCTTTAAGGTAAAATTGGATCTGAAAAATAAACTATATTTTGTTTTAAAATTGTTGAAACTATTTGCTGACATTGACAAAATGTGATCGTTGAAAATAATTGCTAAAGTTATTGCAAAAACAAATGGATTTGAATAATTATTTAGATAATATTAGGAAAAACCTTGGGTGTTATCAAAGAAAAATATTAGGTTTGAAAAAAAAATTAACAAAAATAAAATAGAAGCCAAAAATGTACAAATACTTGTATATTAGACCTAGGACCACTTTGTGGTAATGAATACTAATTTTTTGTACTAATAATTGTTAAAATTAATTCGTTACTATTTTATATTTTAATAGACATATTTAGGTATAACATACCAAAATTATAGCTTGAAAAAACTAATACTTTGTTTAGAGTAAATTTTTAAAAACTGAGTTTTAAATTTTATACCAAATTTTGTTTGTAGTACGTACTTTGTTCAAGTAATAATTAAATTTTTTGAATAAATTTGTTGTTAATTGAATTATTTTGATGCCAAATTGTTGTAGACATATTTAAGTATAATATGTCAAATTTTGAACAATTTAGAGCAAGTAGTTTATTTATACTGAATTTTCAAAGTTGACATTATTTTTCTAATTTCAGAACTAGATCATTCTTGAGAACTTTACGCAACTAGTTACTGATTTTATATACTAATAATTAATTTTATTAAATTTTTACAATTTTATATTTTAATAGACATATTTAGGTATAACATACCAAAATTATAGTTTAAAAAAACTAGCACTTTGTCTAGAATTAATTTTTTTAAAGTAAACTTTATGATTTTATACTAAATAAGTTTTGCTTCTAGTACGTACTTTGTTCAAGTGATTACTGAATTTTTTGATTAAAATTTTTTTTAACTAAATTATTTTTATGCCAAATTATTTTAGGCATATTTAAATATAACATATCAAATTTTGAACAATTTAGAGCAAGTAGTTTATTTATACTGAATTTTCAAAGTTGACATTTAATCAACTAGATTTTTGTTGGGTATTTTGCGCTTCAAATATCGATTTTATGTACTAATAATTAATAAAATTAAACTTTTAATATTTTTCCGTATAACAGACATGTGTATTAGTAACATACTAAAATTATGATAATTTAGAAGTAATAATATATTTTTGCCGAATTTTGAAAATTGACATTATTTTTCTAAATTTAGAACTAGATCTTTCTTGGGTACTTTGCGCCAAGAGTTACTGATTTTATATACTAATAATTATTTATACTAAATTTTTACGATTTTTCTGTATAACAGACATGTATATTAATAACATACTGAAATTATAATAATTTATAATTAATATTATATTTTTGCCGAATTTTCAAAGTTGACTTTTTTTCTAATTTCAGAACTAGATCTTTCTTGGGTACTTTGTGCATTAGTTCCTGATTATATATACTAATAATTATTTTTACTATTTTTCTGTATAACAGACATGTATATTAGTAACATACTGAAATTATAGTAATTCCGAACTAATATTAAAATTTTGCCAAATTTTGCAATTTCAGCTTAATTTATTAAATTTAGTACTAGATCTTTCTTGGGTACTTTGCGCAATTAGTTACTGATTTTATATACTAATAATTATTTTTATTAAATTTTTACTATTTTTCTGTATAACAGACATGTATATTAGTAACATACTAAAATTAAAATAATTTAGAATTAATATTAAATTTTTGCCGAATTTTGCAATTTCAACTTAATAAATTAAATTTAGTACTAGATTTTTCTTGGGTACTTTGCGCAATTAGTTACTGATTTTATATACTAATAATTATTTTCACCAAATTTTTAATATTTTTCTTTATAACAGAAATGTATATTAGTAACATACCGAAATAATAATAATTTAGAATTAATAATACATTTTTGCCGAATTTTTAAAGTTGACTTCATTTTTATAATTTCAGAACTAGATCTTTCTTGGGTATTTTGCGCTTCAAATATCAATCTCATATACTAATAATTGGAAAAATTAAATTTTTAATATTTTTACGTATAACAGATATGTAGGTATATTAGTAACATACTGAAATTATAATAATTTAGAATTAATAATATATTTTTGCCGAATTTTGAAAGTTTTTTTATTTAATTTTTCAAAATTTAGTACTAGCTTGGGTACTTTGTACTGATTTTATATACTAATAATTATTTTTAATAAATTTTTACTATTTTTCTGTATAACAGACATGTATATTAGTAACATACTAAAATTATAATAATTTAGAAATAATAATATATTTTTGCCGAATTTTGAAACATGACTTTATTTTTCTAATTTTAGAACTAGATCTTTCTTGGGTATTTTGCGCTTCAAATATCAATCTCATATACTAATAATTGGAAAAATTAAATTTTTAATATTTTTACGTATAACAGATATGTAGGTATATTAGTAACATACTGAAATTATAATAATTTAGAATTAATAATATATTTTTGCCGAATTTTGAAAGTTTTTTTATTTAATTTTTCAAAATTTAGTACTAGCTTGGGTACTTTGTACTGATTTTATATACTAATAATTATTTTTACGAAATTTTTACTATTTTTCTGTATAATAGACGTACTTGTTATTGACATACTAAATTTAGAATAATTTATAACTAATGGTTTATTTAATATAAATTTTTAAAAAATTAGTTCATTCTAAATATTGTGGAAATTTGTCTTTAGTAGTCTCGAAAAATTGCTAAAATTTCATAAAATATTAACTTGATCATTTTGCTGTCTATGAGAAATTTATAGTTTATTAAATTTTCAACAAAAAAAAAATAAAATTTTTTTGTACGACTAATAATTTTAGAGTTATAACAACTCTAAAATAGCATATTAAGAAAAGTCTCGCAAAATTACCAACATCTCATAAAATATTAAACTTATTACATAACTATTTTCGGCACTTTTATAGCTTAATAAATTTACTATAAAAAATTATTAAAGAAATTTTTCCAAGCGACTAATAATTTTAGAGTTATTTAAACCAAAAAAAAGCATATTAAATTTCTCATTTTAAATGCAAGTTTGATGGAGTTTGATTTAACAGCAACGTTTCGCAAAATTTGTAATATCTTATAAAATATTAAACTTAATACGTAACTATCTTTGGCACTTTTATAGCTTAAGAAATTTACAATAAAAAATTATTAAAGAAATTTTTTGGTACGACTAATAATTTTAGAGTTATATCAACTAAAATAGCATATTAAAATTTGTTTATATTAAATGCAAGCAATGGAGTTTTATGTAACATGTAACGTCTGGCAAAATTAGTAATATCTTATAAAATATTAAATATATTACATAACTATCTTCGGCACTTTTATAGATTATTAAATTTACAATAAATAATTATTAATAAAAATTTCTGTACGACTAACCATTTTAGAGTTATAACAACTCAAATAAAATAGCACTTTAAAAATTTCTCATTTTAAATGCAAGCAATGGAGTTTGATGTAACAGGAACGTCTCGCAAAATTAGTAATATCTCAAAAAATATTAAACGTATTACATAACTTTCTTTGGTACTTTTATAGCTTAATGAATTTAGAATAAAAAATTATTTAAAAAAAATTCCGTACGACTAATAATTTTAGAGTTATAACTACTCAAAAATAGCATATTAAAATTTGATCATATTAAATGCAAGTTTGATGGAGTTTGATGTAACAGCAACGTCTTCGCAAAATTAGTAATATCTCATAAAATATTAAACTTATTACATAACTATGTTCGGCACTTCTATAGCTTAATAAATTTACTTTAAAAAATTATTTATAAAAAATTTCAGTACGACTAATAATTTTAGAGTTCAACTAATCAACTCAAAAATAGCATATTAAAATTTGTTCATATTAAATGCAAGTTTGATGGAGTTTGATGTAACAGCAAGGTCCTTACAAAATTAGTAATATCTCATAAAATATTAAACTTATTACGTAACTATCTTTGGCACTTTTATAGCTTAATAAATTTACAATAAAAAATTATTAATAAAAATTTTCCGTACGACTAATAACTTTAGAGTTATAACAACTCAAAAATTGCATATTAAAATTTGTTCATATTAAATGCAAGTTTGTTGGAGTTTGATGTAACACTAACGTCTTGCAAAATTAGTAATATCTCATAAAATAATAATCTTATTACATAACTATCTTCAGCACTTTTATAGCTAAATAAATTTACAATAAAAAATTATTAAAGAAATTTTTCCGTACGACTAATAATTTTAGAGTTATAACAACTCAAAAATAGCATATTAAAATTTGTTCATATTAAATGCAAGCAATCGATGTAACGTTTTGCCAAATTACTAATATCTCATAAAATATTAAATCTATTACATAACTATCTTTGGCACTTCTATAGCTTAATAAATTTACTTTAAAAAATTATTTATAAAAAATTTCAGTACGACGAATAATTTTAGAGTTATATTAACCCAAAAAAAAAGCATATTAAAATTTGTTCATTTTAAATGCAAGTTTGATGGAGTTTGATGTAACATCAACGTCCTGCAAAATTAGTAATATCTTATAAAATATTAAACTTATTACATAACTTTCTTTGGTACTTTTAAAGCTTAATAAATTTACCATAAAAAATTGTTTATAAAAATTTCCGTACGACTAACCATTTTAGAGTTACATCAAATCAAAAATAACTATGCAATCCGAGACAATTCATACGAGTTTTATGAGTTTACTTCAACTTTGCACCAGATTTTTTTTATCAGAGTCTTTTACCAACTTACCAATAGGCACAAATAAATTCTCAATAACTAATTTAAATATTTTTGAAAATATTTTGTACTTACAGTTCCCGCCAAAGTCTGACAAAGCATCAAAAAAATTCTAAGACTTTTATTTGCAGTATAAGATTTATGTGTCCAAAGTCTATGGGCACCACAAGTCGATCCCAAAACGCCTAAACTTAATAAAAGTAAACCTAAAAATATTAAAATATTATAAATAAATAATAATAACAAATATTAAAATTATTAAAAATATTTTTTCCATATTTTTTTCATATTTCTATTACTATTTACCGAATAAATTCGTCAAAAGTTTTGCCTTAAAAATCGCAGCCACTCCGTAAATTCCCAAAACGTGAATGTATAAGAAAAAAAGCACTGCTGGCCAACTCGTGGTTCTTTTTGAGTCTTCAGGATTTTGTTTGATAGTCGGTTCCGCAGTTTGGCCTTCACTGGCACTCGCCGTCTTAGACGAGGCGTCGGTTTTGTCTGAAAGAAGAAAAAAATGTCAGATTTTGATTGGATTTTAAAGTATACCGAGTTGCTGTAGAGTATTATAATGTTAGACAATATTAAAGATGATTTAATTTTAAACAAATTTGTCGAATAAAGTGTTTAAATCTGATGAACTATTCAAAAGTTATGAAGAATATACCAAAGCAGTTATACGAGTTAGGAGAGACTGGAAATTGTTGTATTGGATTGGATTTTTAGGTATACCGAGTTGCTGTAGAGTGTTATGATGTTAGACAATATTATTTAATATTTAATTTTAAACAAATTTTCCGAATATTGTGTTTAAATCAGATGAACCGTTCGAAAGTTATGCAGAATATAACAAAGCAGTTGCACAAGAGAAGGAAAACTGGAAATTGTTGTATTGGATGGGATTTTAAAGTATACCGAGTTGCTGTAGGGTATTACAATGTTAAACAATATTATTTAATATTCAGTTTTAAACAAATTTGTCTAATATTGTATTTGTAACAGATGAACTATTCAAAAGTTATTTAATATAAAACAAAACAGTTGCCCGAGTTAAGAAAAAATGTGAATTGTTGTTTTGGATGGGATTTTAAAGTACACCGAGTTGCTGTAGAGTATTGTAATGTTAGACAATATTATTTAATATTCAATTTTAAACAAATTTGTCTAATATTATATTAGCATCAAATAAACTATTCAAAAGTTATTGAATATATAACAAAACAGTTGCACGAGTTAAGAAAAAATGTGAATTGTTATATTGGATGGGATTTTTAGGTATACCGAGTTGCTGTGGAGTGTTATAATGTTAGACAATATCATATAATATTTAATTTTAAATAAATTTGTCTAATAATATATTTGCATCAGATGAACTAATCAAAAGTTATCTAGGATATAAGTAAACCATTGCACGAGTTATTTGATGTAAAGAAAAATTGAATTGTTGTATTGGATGGGATTTTTAGGTATACCGAGTTGCTGCAGGGTTTTATAATGTTAGACAATATTATGTAATACTCAATTTTGAACAAATTTGTCTAATAATATATTGGCATCAGATCAACTGTTCAAAAGTTGTTGATTATATAACGAAACAGTTGCACAAGGTAAGAAAAACTTTGTATTTCTGTATTGGATGAGATTTTTTGGTATACCGAGTTGCTGTAGAGTATTATAATGTTAGACAATATTATATAATATTTAATTTTAAATAAATATATCTAATATTGTATTTGTATCAGATGAACTATTCAGAAGTTATATAAAATATAACAAAACAGTTGCACGAGTAGTAATAAATTAAATAAGAACTCTAAAAACAAGTGTAAAATTGCAATAAATTTTTAGTAAAAATAAAAACAGAAATTATTCTAGAAAATATTTATGCAATTTATTTATTACTGCCAAAAGGCAAAAACAATTAGAAATCAAATTTCTTTTCGAATTAACTAATGATTAAATCATTAACTAATAGTTGTCTAATTGACAAATTAACTAATTTTATGTAAACATCATTAGTATAACCCTTTTTCTATTAAAAATCCATTAGCAATTGCATAATTAAATATATATATATATATATATATATAATTCAATAAATTATTCACAAAACCGTTTATTATTCTTATATAAAAACTTGTGGTTAAAGGAATATATTTAATGTTTCATTATTTGTCACTAATGGGTAATTTTTGCAATAACTTTTAAATTATACAATTTATCAAAAAAACATATTCTACGAATTTATATTTTAATAAACACCTCATAAGACGTGATATATATATTTTTTTTTGTACGATTAATAGTTTTAGAGATATTCTGATTCAAAAAGTACAAACGAATTTCAATAACAAATTTGAAAAATAGTAATAAAAAAACTAAAATTATTGCCATAGAATTTTGAAAATATTTTGTAAACTAATAGATTTAACAATAAATTTTATTTACAACTATTATAGCTTGATAAATCCTCAATAAAACGTGATGTTCAGATTTTTTGTACGTATAGTAGTTTTAGAGAGATTCTTAACCAAACACTACATATGAATTTTATTGGTACTAAAAGCAATAAGTTAAAAGAAAACTATAGCTAATACTTGAGATTTTTTTTAAATAATTTGCAAACAAAAAAAATTATGAATAAAGTATATTCACAATAATTATAACTGATCAAATTTTCAATAAAATCGTCATACAAAATATTTGTATACAAGCTATGATTCAAAAGATATTTACATTTGAAACTTGGTATTACGTAATTTGTTACCTGCAGTTAATTTTTACAGTAACTCCTAAACTGTGGGATTTATTGAATAAATGTATTCTACATAATTTTAGTTGAATCATACTTAATAAAACGTGGTATTTTATTTTTCTGTAGGAGTAATAGTTTTAGAGATATTCTGGTCCAAAAAGTACAAACGCATTTCTTGATAGAAATAAATATAAACAAGCAATATGGAAACTAAGGTGATTATCTCGATTGTTATTTTAATAATTTGTAAATTAATAGATTTATCCATAAACTATATTTAGCAAATTTGTAGCTTAATATATACTTAATGAAACGTAGTATAAGATTTTTTTGTACGACTAATAGTTTTGAGGATATTCTGGTCCAAAAAGTACAAACGCATTTCTTAATAGAAATAAATTATAATGAAATATATGGAAACTAAGATGGTTATCTAGATTTTTTTTAAATATCTAATAAACTAATAGATTAATCCATAAACTATATATAGCAAATTTGTACCTTAATAAACACTTAATAAAACGTAGTACAAGATTTTTCAATAAAATTAATATTTTGAGAAATATTATAATCGAAAACTTTAAACTCCTTTCATAGTTTAAGTACAAAAGTTAAAATTATTTGCCATAAATTTTAACATTATTTCGCAAACTAATAGATATTTCAATAAACTATATTTATAACAAAAATAGCCTAATAAATATTGAATAAAATGTACTACTACATTTTTCTATACCTATAATAGTTTTAGAGATATTCAAATCTAAAACCACTAATATCAAAATTAATAAAATAAAACCAAAAGTTGTTAGCCAAGAAATGTAAAAATATTTTGTGAACTAATAAATTTATTGACAAACTTTATTCAGCAAATTTGTAGCTTAATAAACACTTAATAAAACGTAGTATAATTTTTTTTATACGACCAATAGTTTTGAAGATATTTCAATTCAAAAATTAGTACCACAAAAAATTTGGTATGAAATATATACGAAACAAATTTTTAAATAACTCGAAAACCACAAATTTAATTTAAAAAAAATATTAAACATCAAATAGCTTAATAAAAACCTAATAAAACCTTAATACACGACTTTTTTGTAGGATTAATTATTTTGCAGATATTTTGAACCAAAACGTAGGAACATAAAACAAAAACAATGTGTTATGGTGCAAAATTTAAAATAACGCAAAATCTATTAATTTAAACCCAAAACTATATTAAACACATTTATAGGTAACAAAATCCTTAACAAACTTCTCATATATAATATTTCAATAAACACAACAGTTTTGGAGTTATTTTTATTCAAACCTTAAGCAAAATTTTACCAAGTTTGCATACAAATTCGTTATGGTGTTAACAATCTGCAAAATTTAAAATAACTCAAAAACTATTAATTTAACCCCAAAACTGTATTAAACAGTTTTATAGCTAAAAAAATCCTTAACAAACTTTTCATATATAATATTTCTACAGACACAACAGTTTTCGAGTAATTTCCAATCAAACCTTAAAAAAAAATTCAAACAAGTTTCCATGCAAATGATGCACTTATTTAGCAGTATTTTTTACTAAATACAGGTAAGTTTTTATTATTTATTATTCTTACCTGAAGCCATGTCCAAAGAACAATTCACACTTTAAATAAATACCAAAATATTTATTCAAACATCAGACACAAAAACGAAAACCGAAATGAATCGTTCGTCGTCTTCAAAACACAATTTATATTAGCCCCACCACACCAAACCAAACCTTATGCAGAACCCACAAAACGAGTCTATGGGTTCCCATACATTTTGTATGGAAGTCAAGGGCTTCAATGGCTTGGTCGCGGCACCGGTGTAATAGAATTTTGTAAAAAAATTTGTGACGATTTTTGTTCCCGACGAAATTAAACCAAGTACGCCAAAGTAGTAATAAAGGTCTAATTAATAAATAAAAAATATAAATTCATATAGTTTCGGAGTAAAAAGTGCCTTAAAATTAATTTCAAAATAGGTATGATTCATTGTCTCCGCACCAACAAAATGAGTGTATGGATTTGTATGAACGTCGGAGTAAATCAGGTGCCTCAAACGTTTGGTCAAGTCAGCGGTGCACAACATTTTTCAAAATCGATTTTAAGCACTATTTTGTTCCAAAATTTTTTGAACAAAATATGCCAAAATGTTTTTAAAAGTCTTATTTATATATTGTAAATTTAAAATTACGTAATAGTTATCTAAATTCGTGGAATTTTAATATTTTTCAATCGACTGTATGTAAATATTTACATAAGAGGCTGGCAGGATGCTTCAATTGAAAGTTTAATGAAATAGTAAATAAATAAATAAAAGATGTTTTGATAGATAAATTGTGTACGGGATTTTATGTTTTAGTTTTTGGGCGACTAAAAGTTTTAGAAATATTTTTGGAAAGTATTTTGAGGTCCCAAACACCAAAAACAAATTTTGGAAATTAATTTTTGGACAAATTTATTAAATATTAATTCATCATTATTTTATTCATTTTTATATTGAATATTTGTGCATATATTTTGATTAAAAAATATTGCTAAATAAATTTGTTATATGTATAATTAGAGTTTTAATTTCCAAAATCATTATAAACAAAATTTTGAAGATTTTTGTTTCTGACGCCAATAAGAATTAGGTGCAGTTTTTTTGGAAAATATTATTTTTAGCATATAATAATTTGTCGTATATTGATAAAAAATTACAAAAAATCAGCTAGAATATTAATGAAAAATATACTAAAGTTTTAAAAGTATTACAGTTGTAGTTAATTTTTAAAAAATAGTTGAAATATGTCATTTTTTCAGTAGTATCAAAAGTTTAGAAAATATTAATTTTTATGTATTATTTTTTTAACATATTTTTGATTTTTTTTGTAAAGTTAACTAAAGTATTGAGAAATAATATGTTGAATATTTAAGCTTATCGTGTTTCTAGTTTGATTTTAAGAAATGTTTGAAATATGTTACTATAAAAACTAAATTTTGAAAAATGCAGTTACTTTCAGTGTAGTTGCTTTAGAAATATTATTTTTATTATATTAATTTTTTCTGTAAAATTATAAAAAAATACAAAAATTTAGCTAAATTAATCATAATCATAGTTTAATTTTAAAAATTATTTGAAATATGTCATTTTTTAAACTGAATTTAGAAGAGTGCAGTAGTCTAGAGCAGGCATCGGCAACCTACGGCACGCGTGCCAGGCTTGGCACGCGATGGGGTTCTGAATGGCACTCTATAAAGTAATCAGGAAAATCGCAAATATTGAGCGATTTTTAAATAAGAGAAAATGTTTAATTATAATTATTTTTCTAACGTAGCTCGCTAATGTATGTAATTCAACTTACGTTGAAGTACTTAAAGATGAATTTTCCAGAAGATGCAAAGACTTTGAAGCTTATGTGCCTATATTTTGAAGGAATTACAAATAAATCTGGAAGATGACTCTATGGAAAAATCGACAGCCATATTAAATTGTTGAATGACATTGCCGGAAAAGATTTAATTGTATAAAAAAAATTGTATGCGCTCTCCTTTCAGCTTTTGGTTCCACATATCTCTGTGAACAAATTTTTTCTCACATGAAACATATTTTGAGTTCACAAAGAAATCGTTTAACAACCAAACATTCAGTATCTTGTGTGAAATTAAAAGTTACAAATTATACCCCGGATATTGAAATGTTAAGGAAAAAGGTGCAGGCACAAGGTTCACATTAAAGTTGTTTAAGCTTTCTGCCGCCCTAGGCCCTATTATCTGATCAGGCGCCCTTTTTAATAGACAATTTTTTACTTTTTTAATTAAACTATAATTTTGTTCTAAATTACTTAAATACAACTTTTAACTTTGCGTAAAGTACTCGTAAGTTATAGTAATCGCAAAAGATCGAAAATGAAAATTTTTGCATATTTTTACATTTCAGACATTTCTAAATATTTTGGCATACCTTAAAAAAAATTGATGTGTGTGTATGTATGTATGTTTCATTCTCATAGATAAGAAAGTTCTGATTAGTTTTTCGCTAAGACAGGTTTAGCCGTTTGGAAAATACAGAACAAAGTGCAAAAATTGCAATTCAGTTTTTGAAAGAACCGAGGGTTCTACTAACCGAGACTTGTACTAAAGGAATGAATAATTACCTAAATTTTGGGAAGGCAGGCATTAGTAAAAGCGAGAAAAAATTCGTCAAAGTTTTAGCCCACGATTTTAAGTCGATTTTAAAAATCGAAAAATCATTCGAAAAATCTTGGTTGGAAATCGTATTCATTAGTTTTTGGTAAAACCCTGCCGGACTTATTAGGTTTGCGGGACGATCGGACGAGCCGGTTGTTTGAAATTAGAATAAAAAAGCAAAAATATTACGTTTTTGGAATAAAGCCAGAAACCGATTTTTAAAATTGAAAAAAGATTTCTGAAAGATATCAATTAGGAGTCAAAATATTTGACAATTTTAAAAATTCATCTAAGTTTGATAAAACTTCATAGTCAAAATTTGTGTTAAAAGGCGCTTTTGTGATGTGATAAATCAAAATTTAATTTTCAAAAACGCCTGAACTGATTTCACAAATTAAAAAGACATTGGACTAAACTCGATAAATAGAACCGAGATATTCAAAAATTTCGCTTTTTTTTTAAATTCTAAAATAATTCGATTATTTGAAAATTTTAGATATTTTAATTTTCTCAAAATTTTGAAACCAGCGGGCTTGCCTTTTCGGAAATCTAATCATTTCTTCATATCACTAAAATACCACGTACAAAATATTTTTTGAGTCATTCCAATCGAATGATCTGTACTCTCAAAACCTTCATGATCACTTTTGCACCTTCTGCGCTCTGTATCTCCAAAAATGCTAAACCTGCCTGCATAAACAGTATGCCTCTCAGTCAAAGCCAAGCGAATATTTTTTGAATCATCATGGCCATTGATCCTTGCAAAGGACATTTAAACTATCTAAGAAATAAACTTTGTAAATTAAAAATATTGGTACGGAATGATTCAAAATAATGAAGACAAAATTTGTAATAATTAATAATTTTTTTATAAAAAATCTAATTATTTGATGTCAATGATCATTTTTCATCACCAAATGACACCTTTTTGGATCACCAAAAACGCTGATCATGCTCTCGCAAAATTTTCGATAGTTCTTATTTCGTCATACAAGTAAAAAGTGTCTTGAATTATTCAAATCGGACGCTTCGTTTTTGAAAAATTGAATTAGCATATTTTTAACTCTTTGCTCCCTATTCCGAAACTGTCTTTGCAAAAAACTAATCAGCACGTCTTCCCGAATGCCAATGGGCAAAAAATTGTAACCGCATAAACACATGCATACATCCATTTTTTCTAAGGCATGTCAAAATGTTCAGAAGAACTTGAAGCGTAGAGATATATAACCAATTTGATTTACGATTTTTTAGGATTATTATAACTTAGCCTTTCTGAAGTTGATAATATGATACATCAAGAAAATATCAATGCGGCACCCACGAATAATAAATTGATTGAAAACGCATTACGTTCTATTTCATCGAAAATGATCTCTAAATTTACAACAAAAAAATTTCAGGATCTATCCTTAAAATAAATTGTCGTGTCATTTCATCGAGTTTAAAATTTTTACATTTTGAAAAATTTGCCGCCCCCTAAATTATGCCGCCCTAGGCCATTAGATATTCATGTTATTTGTTAATAAATATGTTTAAAAGATAAATTTGGTTATAATTCTTCTCCCCTAAAACCTAACTATATATTTCAAAATTAAGGCGGCACTCTAAAACATATTGGTAGAGTGGCTTGGCACACTACAGTTAAAAGCTTGCCGACCCCTGGTCTAGAGTGCAGTTCTTTAGAAAATATTAATTTTAATATATAAATTTCTGTCGTATATTTATAAAAATTCACACAAATTTAAAAAAAGTGTTAATAAATAAAATACTAGAGTTTCAAATTAATCATAATCATAGTTTAATTTTAAAAATTATTTGAAATATGTTACTTTTTAAACTAAATTTGGAAGATTGCAGTAGTCTAGAGTGCAGTCATTTAGAAAATATTAATTTTAATATATTAAATTTTGTACTATATTTACCAAAACTTGTGTAAATTTAGCTAAGTTTTTATTAAATATTATACGAAAGTTTTAAAATTGTCATAGTTTTAGTTTTATTTTAAAAAAATATTCAAATTGTATCTTGTTTACTAACTGAAGAATTTTTCTACTTACAATTAGGAAAAAAAATTGGTGAAAAAATATTTTTGCACATTAATTTTAGTCAAAATTGTAAAAAAAATTGTACCTATAGTATTAATAAATAATATACTGAAGTTTCAAAATTATCATAATTTTAGTTTAATTTGTTTTTATTATATTACAATTATTTGAAATAGGTCGAAGATATCTATCACAAAAATATTAATTTTAATATAATAATTTTTATCGAATATTTATAAAAAATTACAAATATTTAGCTAAAGTAATGATAAATAAAACACTAAAGTCTCAAAATTATCATAATTTTAGTTAAATTTTGAGAATTATTTGAAATTCGTTAAATAAAATTGCCCAATCACGTTTTTGTACAAAATTTAATAAAAAATCACATTTAAAAAAAAAATGCACTAATTAGTATTCTTATTGTCTAATAGTTTTGGCCCCAAAAATTGAACTAATTTATAATTCTAGTAGACGAATTAATTATCATTTCAAGACGTGACCTAAAAGGTTAAAGAATTCTTGACGAGCTATTTTTATTATAAAAAAATATATATAGTGAATAACTTTAAGATCTGTAATTATTATAAAATATGTAAAAACAGATAAATCAAGTAAATACTTTATATATAAAATAGAAATATTTTATCTATTTATTAATAAATAAATAATAAATTCAATCAAAAATATAATTACTATCATTGACCCTTGTGAAAAAAATAAGTAAAAATGAAGAAAAAATTAAGGACTTTTTATATACTTATGTTAAATTAATTTATATGGAAAAATATTAATAAAAAACGATATGAAAAATGATATTAATGTAAATATTAGATGAACCAATATGCCTTAAGGTATATTAAGATTTTTGAATGTTATTTGATAAAATTAATATTAAAATCTGTTAAAAATGTTATAATTATCGCAGTGTCAGTTGAAAATCTATCCAAGGATTTTTAAATAAAGTTTTGGCCGTTTTATTTTTTCAAATTTTATCAAAATAATTATAATTCGGTTGGTTTGATGGTTTTTGTCAAATAACTCAAAAATTGGAACTACCCCTTTTCAGTTAGATAGGGTTAAACTAGATAAAATTTCCTAGAGAACACTTTTATACACTCCGATATAAAAATTTTGATTAAAACGACTTCGAAATTCGATTTTTCCTTCTTAATTTTTCATTACCGATTGTGTTATTTGATGCTTTCTATATAAGTATGCAAATTAATGTGACATTTTTAGTGAAAAAGTTAAAACAACAAATCGTGAGTGATGGCAAATTGAAAGTATTATATAGAGGACTTTTTGAATTTCAAAAATATCTCAAAGCGTTCTCGAGATATTGCATTTTTAAACATTTCGATTTCGCAGGATCCGTATTGATTTTTTACAACTCATAAAATTTGAGAAGTGTAAAAATGCAATTTTATAAAAACTATTGCAGATATTCTGGTGATTCAAAAAGTTGTTCTAGAAGCATTTTTCATTTGCCTAGTTTTTACTAGTTCACAAAGAATGCACATTATACATAAATAAATCTTCAGGATTTGGTGAAATAGTTAAGAATGCAAGTTGATAGTATATATATATATAGTTATTTAACATATTTTTATAGTTAATTTATTATTTAATTTGTTATTTCATGTTTCCTATATGAGTATGCAAAATAATGTTGCACTTTCAGTGAAAGAGTTAAAACAACAAATCGTAATTAACACAGTTCGATGGCAAATTGAAAGTGTTATATAAGAGACTTTTTGAATTTCTAAAATATCTCAAAGCGTTCTCGAGATATTGCATTTTTAAACATTTCGATTTCGCAGGATCCATATTGGTTTTTTACAACTTATAAAATTTGCAAAGTGTAAAAATGCAATTTTACAAAAACTATTGCAGATATTTTGGTGATTCAAAAAGTTGTTCTAGAAGCATTTTTAATTTGCCATCGAATAGTAATATTCTCGATTTCCAATTTTCACTTCTCCACTATCTAATATATACATATACGTATACTTTAAAATCCCAATTGAAAATAGATGAAATGACATGCAAGAAAGTAAAGAAAAACCCCAAAGACCTATTTTAATACATTTTTTTAATTTATATTTATTAAAAATATAACATAATATATTATTATTTTATATGCTAAAAACATAAATCTACAATACTGTTTCATTGCATTCTTGAAGTACTTATAAAACTTTTAATAAAAATATAGAAGAGTTTAGGGAAAATATAGTTTAAGGAAGAGATTTATATAGAAGTAGATATTTAAAAAAGACTTTAACTGACTGCAAACAAATATGTTTTACTAAATTATCTTTTAATACTACCAAATTGATTTTTTAAAATTTTTAATAATACTTCACAAAATTCAATTAAAGTCTTTAGTAAAATTTGTAATAATAAAAATTAATACCTAAGATCTAGACAACCTGGTGTCTAAATTTCAACTAATTTTTTCCTATTTTTTTGATCTGGTAAAATGAGGTCTTTGATATCCTGTTCGTCCATATCGACGTCTCCAAAGCCCCAAATTTGGGTCTCTTCAGCATGTGGGTCTAAAATAAAAGACCCATCACCTGATCTAAGGGCCCTTCGAACTATCATTCTTCTGGAAACTGATTTACCTGAAAAATATTAATAATAGGTTGTCAAATATCTCCCTTCCGCCTTTTTGTATTATAAACTAAGAGCAAAAAAGCGGAAGGGAGATATTTGACAACCTAATATAATAATTATAATTACACCAAACAATGTGAAATTTTTATTCAAAAATAATAATAAATAAATAAACTTTAATTTGGTGTATATTAGACTTAGTTTTATTCAACCCTGTGTACTATTTATAGTACTAAAACTTTTGGGTGTATTTATTTAGTATGTATATCTCTTGTAACTTTTGAATGGATTGTTTGGTGTGAATAGTGTTTTTGGCAAATTTGTTTAAAATTCAATTGTTTATAATATTGTCTAATATAATGAAGCCATACAGCAACTTTATGGATTTTTATGATTGGAGCTCAAGGCAAATTTGTTTGAAATAAAATTGTTAATATATTCTTGAAACAACAAAATATCCTACAACTACTCTCTGTACTTAAAAATTATTAAAATAATATCAAACCTTAATTATTACTTTATAAAAACATGTGAAATTGTTTCTTATATCTCTTATAACTATTAAACGATTTGTTTGATTGGGATAAAACATTTTACAAATTGGTGCAAAATTATATAAATAATAATTTTGTCTAACATTATAAAACCCTACAGCAACTCGGTATACTTTAAAATCGCTCTTGAATACAGAAGTTTGTTTGGGGCCTATTTATTTAAATTAATTACTTATATAGGGTGTGTGCAGTGCATTTGTTTGGCAAATCTTCTGTAACTTTTGAATTTTTTGTAACTTTTATAAAGTACAAGTAAAGTATAAACAATATTCAGTGAATTTATGCAAAATTAAATTGTTTAAAATTTTGTCTAATAATATAGTATTCTACAGTAACTCGCTATACTTTAAAATTCCTTTCAAACGCATATTGTGATGAGTGTATTTATAATTTATAGTACCTATTTAGTGTATTCATTTACCAAATCTCTTGTAACTTCTAAACAAATTATCTAATTTAAAAAGTGTTTTTGGCAAATTTGTTTAAAATTGAATTGTTAATAATATTGTCTAATATTATAACACTCTACAGCAAC